AGTTGGTTCCGTGGGATGGGGCCGGAGATAGTGGCGACGAGTTTCCCGATCTCGACGACCACAACAACGGCGGCCTGTCTTCGGGCGGCGCCCAAAACGGTTGGGCCGCAGAGGATATGTTCCGCATCAATGAAGACAAATTCCAAGTGAAGAGCGATTTCGACACATCGCTCGGACAATACACGTATGTCTTGGCCACTGATTATTGTCCTAAACTGTTTGATACGAATGACTGTTTGCCTCCGCAGAATGGCTTTGCCTGCAGTGGTGGACAAAGAGAAAGAGCAAATCGCTCATGAAATAGCAAAGTCGATAGAAGGCGACCAAAGCCGTCAGGCGAGGCTCAGCAAAGAGAACGATGGCGAAGATGATGATGGAAAGTATAGCGATGTGGTCAGACCCACACCCAATGACAACCGCAACCCCGATCACCGGCGGGACAATCGACCCAATAGTCGCAAACCCAACTCTCAAATGGCTAATTCAGGCTATATTATCAACTCTAGCAGCGGCCCTCCCGGTGCTAGAAGTGGTGGTCGAAGTGGACCGTCCGGACCACCGCTGTCCACGTCGACCACATTCCACGGGAATAAGAATGCGAACACCGGCTATAAGTATAGTCCCAACTCGAACATGGGTTCGGGCGGCGGTCCCTATAAGTCCTATCGGGACGACAATTACGGCCAATCGGGCGGCTATTACAAGAATGATAACCCACACGACGAGAGAGATAGCCCACACTCTAATCCACAGCCGCAGAGGCCTATACTCGATGGTAGACGACAGCCCCAAATGCAGGGCAAACGCAGAGACGACTCCGACTCTAAGTATAGCAACGATTATAAATCGCCGGCACCCGAGACCACCCATAAGAATAGTCCTCCGCCAGGCATTCGGACGGAGCCNTGGATGTATTGTAATGAATGGTAATCTCGAAGCCATACCATATTCCTACTGCTCTGCAACTCTTCAATTGTGCGTTTCTTCGGCACAATAAGACTGTTACGACCCCTTTGTAAACAACTCATTATGTTGTTAACCATCTATGTATTCAATCAAACAATTGTGGTTAATATGAATGCATGTGTGACAAGGAATGTCACCAAAATGGCAAGTGTTGTCACTTCAAACCTCAATCACTTCTTGAGCCGATCGGAAGTCAAATTTGCTTTCGTTTCGATCGAAACGTAACGGAGGAGAAGATAGCAGATATAGGGCAGACATGAGATGGTTAGACGCGTCCTGGATCTGTTCGGGTGACAGTTATAGCTGTCATATATCATAATAATGACACACATTTCAGATGCAATACCTGATGTAATTTCCATTGACAGTCGTTCTGAACAATAGTTCTTTGATTCGGAATCGAGTGCTTATGGAGACGAAGATTGATATCCTGTGAGAGAAGATAATTGTAATTCATTGTGATTACAGACATTGTCTTCTGGAACAGAATATCAATGAAAATCGAGTACAAAATGTATATTCAATTCTTGATATAAATGCAAATATAAATAACACTATATTTTAGGAATATTTAAATGCCATTATATGTGGCTTCAAATGTGTGGCCAAAAGGCGCTCAAGAGGACAGGGATGAGAGGGTGAGGGACAGTGAGAAGACATACCGCGTAACAAATATTATCGGCCGAAAGTGTGGCCAGAATCTTGATTTGATCCAAATGTGTGGTCGAGTTTAGCGGAAACTTTTCGGTTTTGACCAAAGTCTCGAGACCCGGAACGTGGACTGGGAATCGACGACAACACTCCTGGAAGGGTAGGGGGTGTGGAATATACCAACAGTGCATTTATTAATAACCAAGCTAGATCGTTATTAGTGTAGTGCACACTAAACACATACCAATACAATTGAATGCAATTGAGATAATATAGTGTTGACCTCTTGGGTGAGCAGCCATTCAAACTCCAAGTGCTGTCAAAAGTGATCATATGATGGATCAGATGAGCAAAATTAACATGTTTTCACATAAATGTCAATCGCTTACCAGAGCTGTCAACTCCTCGCCGTCCGCGTCCAACGCTATAGCCATTAGACTCTATGTGTTGTACCGCTTGACTAACCAAAGCATTCACACACTCTTCGCAATTGGTTTAAGTTTTTGATTGCTATTCAATTCATTTACTAAATCAAACCAATCATAAGATTGCCATTCATTTGTGGCAATCAATTGTCTCATTCATCACATAGTCATTGGTGTCGCCATAAAGTACACTATTCCCAGAGGTAGGGGTTTGGGAATACTCTGCCATCAATTCATTGTATCAATCATTGTGTCAATCAATTTAATTATGAATAATTAATAATATAAATATAATTGCCGTTTTAGTAGTTATTTGACATTTTTCAATAACATTTCAGTAAATATTTTAACGCTTTATTCAAATAAAAACATTCATTAAAACAGTATTTAAAACATTTATTTAAAACTTTGAAGAATAAGTATTTGTTTGTAATTTACAGAGAAATAAAAAGTAGTTTTAATTATAATGAATAGTTTTAATGACACAAAACGTAGGAATAAATGAATTTTTATAATACAATAGCGAATGAGTTGTGTAGAAATGGTTATGATATGAGAGTCAATCACAATAAGTGACCACTTGTTTCTCGAAGTAGTTTCCCGTTTCGAACTCTTGCGGTGACATCTCGTCGCCGATCTCCAGCTCTTTGTGGCCGACCACTAGTCTATTGCCCGACTCTAATAGACTCGCGCTCTTCACCTTTGAGTCGGAAACTCTAGCAATAGATTAACAAATCATTAAATAATGGCTCGAATGGAGTCATATGTTTGGCACACCTCTTGCCGTAGACGTCGATAAGTTGGACGCCTTTGTCGTGACGATCAACGGTCAGAAAGCCGTCAAAAGTGAACTCTTTGTGCTTTTTGTACGGCTTATGGACACCGAAAATGCATTGAAAGACTCGGCCGTACTTTTGGGTCGGCTTAAGATCAACGGATGACCGCTCGTCGCCTACTGTTATGGTCGGCGAACTACTCGTCTTCGGCTCATTCCTCACGGGTTTGCGTCGCTCTTTGGGCCGTTTGTGGGGCCGAGAGATGACACCATCGGTGGCGTCAGTGATGGCGCGATTGTCAACGCCTTCGACAATGGCTAAGACGTCGTCCAATGAGCGCTCGTCGACGGTGTTGTCGATGATATCGTTGGGATCTGTTTGAGTGATATATCAAGTGTTGCGATAATGAGATGAATTGATAGTTTGGATGGTTTACCGCATGACAGAAGTGTGGATCCATTCAAACCGCAAGACATGTCTCAATGTTTACAATCAAAGCAATGACGACATAAACAACGGCTTATTCTATGCAAACCTGTTATCAAAACCCGCGCTAACTCTCAGCCAATGAGTGGGCCGTCTATTGCTTGCTCTGAACCCTCGCAGCCAATAGGATTCACGGATTGATAATTAAAATAGTTTTTTAATTACTTTTTTAATATTAATTAGTCATACCTATAGACCGATGCTTTTAGACAATGAATACTCACTTCAGGAATATTTGAGTTTAGCAAAAGTTTTGTAAATTATATTTTTTATTTTGTCATTAAAAACGAATTTTCAATTTATATGGTTTTAATAGACCGTCGATTGTTATCACAGTTTATACGTTTGCCGACAATTAGTTAATTGAGTGACATTCACGTTGTGGTCAATACGAGTGTACCTCTCATTACCTGTTAACTGATCAGCACATTAACTATGTCTTCATTATCACGACTAACCGCACGATGTAATGGCGCGCAAACACCGGACGCCGTGACACCACTCCGACCATCGCTGTTACGGCCGGTCATCGACTCACGAATGACAATGACTTGACTCGCGAACACTGGAGACCCGGTGTTAAGCCATTAGCCGCAGGCGTCGATGACTTCTCTATTGAAAGGTATTATTCACTTTTAGAAGTGATTGAAAGTGTTTTGTAAATAAATATAACGAGAATTTTTATACGAAAAACATTTCTTTAATTTAAACTAAAAATTGAAAATTAATTTCTTAAACAATATTGAATTGAATTCGATTTAACGGCAATTTCAATGATAATCTTATTTATTAGTTATTAATATTCTTATATTAAGTCTAATAACTTAAGCGTAAATGTAATTAAATTTGTTTTTATTTATTTTTTCTTTCTTAGAAATATTTGATAACAGTTTTTCAGGTTTTGCATCAATTTATTTAGAAATAAAATTTTAGTTTAATTTGCGTTTTGTGATTGAAATGCCATCGAATCCTAATTTACTTATATTTTTTAATATAATTTGTTTATAACTAATTAACGCTATATTTAGACGCCTGTATAGTGAGAGTGAGAGACAGAGTGACAGAGAGGGATAAAGAGGAGAGAACGGTGAGAGACAACAGATTAGTACATCTTATGGCACGACATGACTATACGATAGAGTGCTTACCGGCGCTGTTGTTATAATTGGCGGCATTAGAGCCGGCGATTAGTTGTACGGGAAGTATAGCGGACTGCGGACCGTTGCCGCTGTGATGGTTAGCTGACGTTGAGTTATGACTTAATTGGTGAGCGTGCAGTTGCGCCCCGTGTCCGCCTCCGTGGTGGCCACCGGCCATCGCGTGACCGCTGGGCAACAGAACAATGTTAGGGTAGCCGCCGGAGCCCTGATGGCCGGCGCCCTGAGGCGATGTGTACATAATCGTCTGCTGTGGGGTCGGAGTGGGCGGTTGGTTGGGCTGATGATGAACGGGAGAGGGCGCCGGTCCGCCGTGCAAAGGGGTGGTCGGCGTCGCCGACTGCGGCGTACTGTGGCCAGAGTGGGGGCCACTGTTTGTCATGTGTTGGTGCGCCTGAGATACTAAATGCTGCAGTTGTACGGCATTGGCGGCTACAGCGTAACAATAGACAAGTCATTAGTAATTACATTACAGGGAATGAGTGTAGGAATGACTGGTGGACTCACTTGCGTAGATGTGTTGTATCTGCGAGGGGTCGTATTGGACGGGCTGAGGCATAGCCATCTGCATCCCACCCGAGTGTTGCTGTAACTGTAGATTCATTCGCGGCTGAAATTGTGTGTACATCTGATGGTACATGTGCTGCGGCGGCGCGTTGTTCACCATTGTTTGGCCGTAACTCACAGTGGGAATCGATTGCGGACCTGTCATCGGCGCTGTGGCCAACACAGGGTGTCCGGTGACGGCGGCGGCGATGGGCGGGTGCTGTTGCTGCTGTTGATACTCGTGCCTAACGGCGTGCGCGTACTGTTGTTGCGGTGCTTTTCCCCTGTAGTTCCTCTGTTGGCCAGCGTTGGACTGCGCGAATGTGGGGCCCATTGCCGTCATGTTGGCCGCTGTCATCAGATACGGATTGGCCCCTAAGGGAAGGGTCAGCCCATGCGGTATGACGTTATACTGTGGCTGTATTTGCACTAATGACGGGTTGGGATAACGGTGTTGTTGCGGGTGCTGTTGGGTGACCGTCATCTGTGATGGTTGGCCCATACTGTGGACCGGTTGCATAGCCTGGTGTGTCATCGGCCCAGTGCTCGGTATCGACACTGTCGACGATGGCGTCGACGACACCGACGGCGGTGTGGCTGATGTGCTCAGTGGCGACGACATCGGCATTCGTGGCGTAAATGTTTTCGCGTTTGGATTCAGAGTAGACTTTTTGGCGATCTCTGTCTCGGGTGCGCCACCGGTCGCCGGACCGCCAGGAGTCGCGTCTCCGGTCGGGTCGGGTTTATCAGGTGCTGACGGCTTGTCATTTGCACTGCTGTCGCGAACAGCCGTCTCCCTGCTATCCCTGAGCTCTTTATTATCACTCAACTGTTCGTTAATTGCATCTGATTTGTCATTGACTGGTGTCGTCGTGTCGGCGACCACAGCATTCACCGGAGATTTACTCTTATTAGCACTACTACTAGTCATAGCACTCAGACTACTGTTAGCACCGCTATTGGCGCTGTTGTTCGCATTGGGCTTCGGGTGAGACGATGGCTCCGTCCGAATGCCTGGCGGAGGACTATTCTTATGGGTGGTCTCGGGTGCCGGCGATTTATAATCGTTGCTATACTTAGAGTCGGAGTCGTCTCTGCGTTTGCCCTGCATTTGGGGCTGTCGTCTACCATCGAGTATAGGCCTCTGCGGCTGTGGATTAGAGTGTGGGCTATCTCTCTCGTCGTGTGGGTTATCATTCTTGTAATAGCCGCCCGATTGGCCGTAATTGTCGTCTCGATAGGACTTATAGGGACCGCCGCCCGAACCCATGTTCGAGTTGGGACTATACTTATAGCCGGGATTCGCATTCTTATTCCCGTGGAATGTGGTCGACGTGGACAGCGGTGGTCCGGACGGTCCACTTCGACCACCACTTCTAGCGCCGGGAGGGCCGCCGCTAGAGTTGATAATATAGCCTGAATTAGTCAATTGAGAGTTGGGTTTGCGACTATTGGGTCGATTGTCCCGCCGGTGATCGGGGTTGCGGTTGTCATTGGCTGTGGGTCTGACCACATCGCTATACTTTCCATCATCATCTTCGCCATCGTTCTCTTTGCTGAGCCTCGCCTGACGGCTTTGGTCGCCTTCTATCGATTCTGCTATTTTACGGGCGATTATCTCTTTCTCTTTGTCCACCACTTCAGGCAAAGCCATTCTGCGGCGGCAAACAGTCATTGGTATAAATCAAACAGTTTAGGACAACAATCAGTGGCCAAGACATACGTGTATTGTCCGAGCGATGTGTCGAAATCGCTCTTCACTTGGAATTTGTCTTCATTAATGCGGAACATATCCTCTGCGGCCCAACCGTTTTGGGCGCCGCCCGAAGACAGGCCGCCGTTGTTGTGGTCGTCGAGATCGGGAAACTCGTCGCCACTATCTCCGGCCCCATCCCACGGAACCAACTCTTTGTCTCTACTCAACGATCGCGAGTCGAAACGACTGATCTCAGTGTCAGTCATCATATGTCCTGAAGATAATGGCAATCATAACCATCACATAAATATAACATCCATTTACTGGTCAATTGACGGACAATTATCTCAACAAAAACAATGGACACATCGGTCTGTCTATTGCTGTCATACCTTTATTAGTGGCGTAATTCAAGTCAACGTTAATGGCGTGTATTTTGACCACATCTGCGAACTGGAAGATATCGCGTTGAGAGACAGCGTTGTTGTCCTGAAGACTGGCCAAAAGGGTGCCGATATTGGAGCCCACGATCGGCACATAATTGGCATCAATTTTGGTCACGTAATCGATAACCAATTCAAACTGTTTGGACACAAAGAGACAGACATATGTGTTAATGGAGTGCTAATGGTATGAATGGTATGTAAACAGACATCGGGTGAAAACGTGCGAAGAACGCCCTCGTATTTGTTGCCGTCTTTGGTCTCAATGTGAACGAGACATCCGACCAGAGATGTGGTGCAGTGAACGACTCGGGCGTTCCGGTAGACGCCCTCTGGAGTCATGCCATCGCCACTCCTGGTGTCCGACAATGACTTTTGCCTCATTTGGGGCTTACTATTGGACACAATCAGACAAAAAAGTAAGACAATTAGTGGACACAACTCACGAGTGATAATCGAGTGCACAATACTTGTTAACGTTCTGGAGATTGGAGTTATTATTATGAGATGTCATCGGCGGACGACCGCCGCCTTTGTTGCGATTCTTGGGGTTTGAGTTCATCGCTGATCCGCGCGATCAATGATTGCGTCCAATGAGTAGACAATTGGTTACAGTTATAGTAGTAGTGAACAAATGAGTCACTGGATCAACAGTGGTCTTCGCAGACACTGGCAATCAATACTTGAATACTTTGCGAGTAAAATATGACAACTGATTGACTCATCAAATGATGACACAAATGATGGCTAATCGGGATGTCATTAGAGACACCGCTAATGGTGTGAATGTGTTGAGTACAGGGATGTGCTGCGAGTGATGGCTCGTGTCATGTGAGTGATGGCTGGCGTGTGTGGTGTGTGTGATGTGGACCGGCCTGTAGTGATGGCTGTAGTGATGGATGCGATGGTTGTGATGATGGGATCAGTTGGTGAGCGGCGTTGGGGTCGCGTTTGGATCGCAATCAAGTGATAGTTGTATTGAATGAATGGTAAACACGATTCAAATGTATGTATGGATTGAAGAGACAATTGAGTGAACCATCGATTGGTGTCAACACAAGTGAATGCACTTTAAATCGTCGCACGAATACATACACAACACATACACTCATTCACTCACTCTCTCTCTGTGTTTGTGTGTGAACTCTCTCTCCCCCATAGCTCTCCCCATAGCTCTCCACAGCACACACTCTGGCGAACGGCTTATAATATGGCGATTATGTGTCGACCCAATAGCGCATCACTGGGTCAGTGCTGTGCGCGCACATCCTTACGCCGCACGACATATAGTGCCCATACATTAGCTAATACACAGCTCTATGCGACCATCTATTGGCCTACTGTTCACTATAACGAGTCTAGATTATAGTGTACGAGACATTACATCCATTAATCTAGTTTATATTCACCATATATTTAACCGTTTCATTATAATTAACTCAATTCTGTGTTTCTAATGTAATTTCTATGCCATAGACTTAACATAGCGTTGCCAACACTCATAACGCTCTTTACTTGAACTATGAATCTATTCATACATTCACCGCAACTATTGTATAACATTGACTGCATTAATAGTGTTATGCATTTTGTAGGGCATAAATGTAGGATGAAGGGCACTTTAGAAGTCTGTTATAAACCATGACCATGCACACATGTAAATCTGTTTAAATTAAACACCCTTTACATTGATTCTGTAGCCGAGCATAAAATTAATTAATATGAACAAGGGTAGAAAATATTTACAAACTCAATATTGATAACATTTATTGCATGAACAAATTTAAATTATAATTGTAGTTAGAATAACTAAATTGTTGCATGCAGCACGAGCATGGTGAGCATGTTGATGCAAACTATGCACCTTTAAGCTCCAACTTGGTGATGGTTGCCTGTGCGGGCACCTCTGCCTTGCGATTGGCCCTAACGGCGATCTCGTCGTCTCTGCGCCAGGGCTTAGGTTTGCTAATCTTGAATGACTTCTTGCCGCTGCCCTCATCCGAGAGGTCCAGTGTCTGGTAGTTATACACCTCAGTGTCGGCGTCCAGTCGTCCGGACAGTCGGTCCACTTCCAGAGCCCACTCATGACTGTCGATATACCGATAGGCGGACGAACCCATCACTCTCTTCAAGTGATTCCCGTTTCTGTCCGACTCTGGCGTTGATATTAAGATATGGCTGTAAAACACTATCAATTCTAACCAAGGAGTGATTTTCATGATGTGATTACAATTTATTTAATATACTGTAATACTTTTCGATTCCATAACAAATCAAAGTCCATATGTAAGGGCACAGGTATGTTAGGTAGTAATTAATGAATTACATGTACAGTATTTTATCAACTGGGTGAACCGATTGGGTTTTGGCATTTGGTTCACACAAATGATATATTCATACAACTGATTACATGTTAAAAGTATGAATATGTTGTTGTTTTATAAATATGGGTGACATTGCTTGATTTTTGTATGCATTAGTGATCTTTTTATACTATTGTACTGTAATTTAACTTTATGTTAAGGTTTTTTGGTTTTGTGTACAAAACAAATATTAATGCTGTCATCTATATGTGGGCTTTGTCACATAATATATGGGGTTCACACAACTGATTGTATTGAATATAGTATAATATTAGCTCAATTTGTTCACACAAATGATATGTTCACACAGTTGACGTTCACACAGTTGATACTATTTTAACATTGTGTCTATGGACTGCGGGTTTTGGTTTTAGGGTTTGACAGGTATGCATTCAATTTACTTACAATCATTCAAATTTAGATTCATTTTAACATTGTGTCTATGGACTGCGGGTTTTGGTTTTAGGGTTTGGTTCATACAAATGCTAAGTTCACACAACTGCTTGTTCACCCAGTTGATAAAACACTGTATAACTTTACTTTAACTATATTATACAGTATAGTTAGTGTCATGTAAACCATGTTTATTGTCATCAAATTGGTTTATTATAGAGTAATTATAGGAATAAATAAAAATTTAAAAATGTCTCATCTATAGTTTTATTAACTAATTTAATAAAAGTTTAATTCCCTTTTAAATCATAAGCTTTTAAAATGAAATAATGAAAACACGGTTATAATATCACTAAAATATCACATATAAGTGCTTTATTAGCAGATCATAAATCATAAATTGTACAAAAAACTAGTGCACAAAATATATAAATATTTAAGTGAAATATGTGTTTATCTTCACTGCTCTTTACTACTGTTTTCGTAGATATTCTTGAGAATCCAATCAATAAAATACGATACTTTTGTATAGACTCCGGGCATATCATCTAAACATTTAAATCAATTGCAAATAATGCACAACAAATATGATAGGGGTATAATACCAGCACAGGTGGATCCATACGAGACAAGTCCCACAGCATATGCCGCTTTGTTTTTCCATTCAATAGCCGGCGAACCAGAATCTCCCTAATTGTTAGCAATATTTAGGGCAAAAATTATTTGCATTAAGAATTTGTAGTACAGAATCTGTATATTGTATTACTCTTATTATAAGTTACAAGTTGTATAAATGATAAAACTAAGAATTATATGATTATAATTATAAGATTAAGGAAATAATAACTTTAAAACTGTTAAAATGAATCTAAATTTGAATGATTGTAAGTAAATTGAATGCATACCTGGCAGGCGTCCTGACCCTTATTCCAAGTGCACATTTGGGAAAAGTAAATAGTGTTGCCTTTGGCCCTGTATTTGCGGGCGCACTCATCCATATCGATGCGATTCAAAATGACTTCTTGCAAATTAGTGGGCAAATCCTTGTTCTCGAAGCTGGTCTGACCCCAACCAACCACTAGCAGGGTCTTGGTTTTGGCGTCCTCGAAGGCAACAGTGGGCACACATACTGGTTTGACGAGCTTGCTCATTTTGATTGCCCGGTTTACGCGCATGAGTGCCACATCCGAGTTGAACATGTTATCAAGGTGAAAACGCTCGTGTACTATAATTTTGTCCACCTTATATGTCGTGCCTATAGTACAGTGCATTCAGTGATTTTTGTGGTGAAAACTAATATTTGCGTAAAATTATGGCTCAGAATCGTCGCTATAAAACAACCGAAATGCAAATATTAGTGTCGGAAACGCACCTGTATTCCTGTCGATTGTGCCAACTCTTATAGCATATTGTCGTGGATTGGAGTCACTAATGAGAAGTAATTGTTTTACCATATAGCAAATGTTTAATTAAATGTTATCAAAAACTTATCGGTATATTTTATAAATTGCAATAAAATATTAATTAGTTTACGTCATGAAACAATGCGCGGCCGTAAGTATCCACTTGTTGTTGATTATACTGCCTCCACACCAGGGATCGCCATTCCTTAGTATAGACACTATCCATGGATAGGCACCGGGTTTGGCGTCCTTTCCGTTCACAATCCGCATATTCTCTATTTCCTGAACACCACATCCCTTGGCATTAATGAGGTCGAGGGCCGGATATTTATCGCGCTTTCGCTCCTCAGAAGCGGGTTTATCGGCCGGAGTGTCCAAATCGATGGCTATCTCCGCGTTCACGTTCCTATCGATGGCCTCTTCGTCATCCCTGCGCCACGGCTTTGGTTTACTCACTCCGAAACCGGCCTCAAGTAGCTTATCGTCGGCGTCGCCGTTGCCGTCGATGTTTGTGATAATATCTGCGGTGCTGTTCACGACATGCAGTGATTCGGCAAACCATTTGTCTGTTATTCTAACATTTGTCTTATCCCTAATGTTTTCCTTTGGATTACTCTTTGATGTTTTAATTGATTTATCGCAATAAATTGCACCTGAAATTGACATTCTTGAGTTTTATCATTTTTAAAAGCGATTAAATGATTTTATTTCATGTTTACCATAAAATACTCACTAAAATAAATGCATAACATCATTGTCTTCTGCAGTGAACAAATCGGCCACAAATTTAACTTCATTTTAAATAATAGTTAGAACTTGTGATCCATATTTGTTTGGGTAATAAATAACTGCTATATTATTAATAAATAATACTCTATTAAATCATATGTTTACTAAACTTTTTATCGTAATATATTATGTGAATTGCATTTTCTGTCTGTACAAAAGTGAGTTTTTAATGAAATGTTTTTAGTTAATAAAATTAAGATATACTGTATGTGTTTAAATAATAAGTTTAAATATATTTTAATGACATTGTCTTCAGTACAACACATTTCAAAGTAAACAATGGTTAATGATTTTTCATAAATAAATGAATTTAATAATAAAAACTTATTTTTTGCATTAATTAACTGATTTGAAATTTATTGCTTTTCCTTTTTTCGGTTTTGCCCTCAATCTGGTCTTGAATCCAATCGAGAAAATACGACACTTGAGTGTAAACTCCGGGATATTCATCTATTTATTAAATTTAAATTAATTACGTTATTAAATTTTACATTAAAACCCAATGTAAACTTCAGACTAAATAATTAAGTACCCGCGCATTTGGCCCCATACGACACGATCCCTATTAGCACTGCTCGTGAGTTTTGTACCTCAATTGCAGGACCACCAGAATCACCCTATTATTAGTAAATCACAAATATGAAATATCAGCTAAACACAATTATACGACCAATATAAACACTAAATATAACCTGACACGCGTCCTTGCCCTGAGCCCACGTACAAAGTTGTGACTTATAAATAGTCTGCGATCGGGGCTGGTATTTGATGACACACTCGCCGTCGCTAATCCTCGGGAGAGTGACCTCTTGGAGAATGACCGGCAGTTCTTTGTCCTGAAACTTAGTGACGCCCCAACCGGTGATCACCAGATTGGCGGTCATCGGCTCCTCGAACGAAGTGGTCGGCAGACATATGCCGTTCACCCGATCGCCCATTTTTATGGGTCGCTCCACTTTGAGAAGTGCAATATCCGAGTTGAACATACTGTCCAAATGAAAACGTTCGTGCATGATCAGTTTTTCAATCTTATAAGTGGCCCCAACATTACGGTTAATTGTCCCGACCCGAACCACGTACTCCTTTGGATCCATTGATCTGATTGGCAATCAATTTATTTGGTTAATATATTTTTATCATTAAACTATATGTATGGATAGTATTAATAAAATGGTCATAAAAATTATAACAAACGCCATAAAACAATGGGATGCAGTGATAATCCACCACTCATTTAATATGGCGCCTCCACACCAGCCGTCGCCGTTCTTCAGTATGGCTGCAATCCAAGGATAGGCGCCCTCTTCAGCGTCTTTACCCCCGACTACCCGTTGCGCCAATTTATGGGATTTACCACAATTAGGCATAATTATGCCTTTCATTGGGAAGTCATTTGATCCGTAATTCATCGGTCGACTCACTTCAAGACTGTCGGATCGGTCGGCGTTTGGTTCCGCTTCCGCCTCTACAGCCATATCGTGATAAATGTTTCGTTTGTATCGCTTTAATTGCCTAAACGATTGTTGCATCACATGATCGGTACTATTCTTCATATTACGGCCGTCCGCACCGATAGATCCGTTAAACGTTTCCCATCGAGTGATGGCATTTTTGTCACTCATTGTCACCAATGGTTTGCTAATATGTTTGTAATTTGCATATGAATTATATGAGCCATATTTTGGACCATAAAAGTTAAGGTGTTTTAAGTCGGGACTCAATTTTTGAAGAGAGTTGGATATAACTGCAAGATATTATATATTATTTTAATAACATTAGTTATCTTAAAATAATATTAAAATGACTTACAATTAATGAAAAAAATTGCTAAAAATAATGTATCTTTGTTGCAAACATTCATTATTAGCACTAATTTATATGTTTTTATAAATGATATGTGATTTATATATTAATTATAACATCGATCCATATTTGAATATTTTGTTTATGTATAACAACTGCTGATAATTATTGAAAAGTGTTACGTTTATGTCATTTAAAATTTCATTACTAATATATTTCGTTATTATATTTGGTGTTTACATCTAATTCTTTAAATTTTATTATGTTTTTAAAACAATAATTTATAAAGAATTTACATTACATGCATTAAATCAATGTTTATGATAGATAGACATCCAAATAATTAATGATTAAATACAATTTTTAGTTAAACATCAATTTTGTTCTCACACTTTAGATATATTTCAAATTCATATTGAATTAAAAATCCGAAAAGTTTTTTGATAAAACGGTTTGCAAATTAGTTTTCAAGTATTCATTGAATTGAGTTAAAAAATTAATGAAATTTTTATTGGTATTTGAGAAAACTTTACATAAAACGATATATTTACAATATTTACAATAAATAAAATAAATTTTAAAACATTTAAATAGAAATATCAGTTGTTTATAACAAAACTATAATTTTGAACAAAACACAGAAAAGTATAGCAATAAATGGCATAAAATTGCAAACAAATAGTTAATGAATATTTTCAAAGACAACAATAACTGCCAAAATAAGGATAACTGTCATATTGACGGACAGATATTGCTTTTGACTGCCATTGACTTTACCAACGGGTTTGCCAGTCGTGGCCATTGAAGAGCTAATGCTAGGGTTTGCAGCAGCGGTAGGGTTGACAACACTCGTGGCCTTTCCGTCACAAAATTTGCCAACAAATGACTGACACTCGTGAGCGAAGGTTGGGCTCTGTTGGCGACAATAGGTTTCATTCACTGCAAACCCATTGGTATGACATTCGCTGTGAAATTCAATTATGTAATTGAGAGACGCTTTGATCTCCTCCTCAGACTTTCCACACTTTTTGTCCTAAAATTATGAACCAATTTATTTCCTGAGACTAAACGATAAAAACTAATACCCATTCAACTAATCCACACATCAATAGGATTTTAGAGCAACACATGTTACCACTGGTAGACCTGGTCTTCACACTTCTCTTCAAACTCGGTTTTACCGCTGTCTTAGTGTTGGATCTCTTTTCCTGATTTGGCTGACCATCGCTCGCCTGACAGAGAGCAACGTATGCCTCTTCGTCGGCACAAGTATTGGTTTGTTCGCTGACCACAAGATTGGCTGAGACTGTGACCACTAAAATACATACAATTATCTTAATTGAAGACATTTTTCAGTTATCAATGCAAATGACAGTTGAGATAAGAATTAAGATATAATTATGTGTGAACTTTAACCAAAATTTAAAATAGTTTTAAATTACTCTTTGAATTAAAGTCCAATTAAAACGCATATCTCGTGAATATCAAGGGTTAAAAATTAACGAATTAATGATAACTTTGTAAAAACTAAGTTTATAACAAATAAAACTTTGTAACAAAATTAATTAAAACAATTCTCGCGATTATAATACATCAATAGGTTTAATATAAATACAATAATCATTTAAATCATTATTAGATTTTTTAGTTAGCCATCAGTTTTCAAAATTCTTATCAATAAAACCGTTAGAAATAAAAGTGTAAATCAATTGCAACTGAAGAAGAAGTAAAATGGGAAATATGTTTGGCGTCCAAAAGCATGAAGAAGTGGTGTCAGAAGTGGAAGAGCTGTTTCCCTATGAAGAACAGGAAGGGATAGAAGAGTTGTCAACACAAGACACTCCTATGGATGACAAAAGCAATTCAAGCGAAACAGTGGATCCGCTTCCAAATCCAAGAGATTATCGCTTTAGTTTGCCATCAGATTCGACTACTGGTCAGGCCATTGAGTCAACACTGGACTTACCGGCGCTTGACTTCACGCTTAGATCGTATGAGATCGCGACCGACGAAGACATCCATTGCGCTACACATTCACAGTCACAACAAGAAAGTCAATCAGATCTCAGACCACAATTTCCTCAAGAGTTTTACGGGTCTTCGGGTGAGTCGGATGTGGAAGACAACGAGGCAAACAGAAAGTGGGCGCCGACTCAGCACATGGAGCCGATGGCTAACCACCAGCCGATCCCATTTGACGACCAGAGCAGACAAGAATTGTCGGCCTATTTGTACGACACATACTTACCAGAGATACTGGATTTGGCCGAAGAGGACGCCAAACACTGCGAATTTCCCGCTTACGGCGCCGACACCTATAAAATCTATCTGTTGGCCGGTATTTACTGCCCCTTTCCCGGCCCTCAAGACATTGGCCGCCAAATGGCTGACAACAGATACGAGTTCTTGGAGTCGGCCGCCTCTCGTCGACTACTCATCAAAATTCTATACGACTTCAGCACTCAATTGGATCATTACCTATACGTGAAGAGCACGGGTGACGCTCCGGTGCCCACCGATGATCACAACTCTCTGTACGACACACTCGTTCAGTGCGACCAACACTTTCTGGAGAACGAATGCAATCGACTCATACAACTCGGCAGCGATTGGCTTCTCTATCAGTACTTATATCCCAATTGATGCCAAGAAGTGGTCGTTTGTCTCTCTTTTCTTTCAGTCCATTAAATCATATAAATTCAAATAAATCACATTATTTATAATGTATTTCAGTATTTATTCAAATTATTAGTTTTTGTTAAACAATTTTATTCAAAATTTTCAATTAATTTCATAAAACAAAACACTAATTGATGTGATGTTTGCAATTTGCAAACATGTTTGTCAGTTAAAAATAAACCAATAAATATATAATTTTTAGTGTACACAGAATTTATACTAATTCTAATGATTAAAAATAAAGCTTAAATTGTCATAACTATTATTTGTCTGAACTTGAGGAAAGCAGTTTGCCAGCAAATTGCATTTGCCGTATTACATTGTATTAATTTGTGTAATTAAACATGATAAACAAAAACTTAATTTTATAATCAATCAAATATATTTGGGTACATTTACTATTAATAAATAAGTATTTAGGATATTAGCATAATGTTTGAAAATTATCTATGATGGCAAATAACAAACAGTACTGGAAACACTAATAATTATAATAAAATAATAACAAACAAATAAATCTTAATGCATCAAAATTAAAATAAAACAAATAACCCAGCATACTTTTTTTTATAGTTAACAACATTAATGAATTACAATTCAATTAATTACACAATAGGTAAGCATAAAGTGATAGAATTAATAAACAATATAATCTGTATATAAATAAATTGTTTTTTAATTTTTCTTTCACTCCAAAGGGAGATCAACTAACTTATAGCACTTGCTTTAAAAATATACATTGCTAAAGATTATTAAAAATTATAGTCTTGATCAATCTAATCAAATGGAAGCTAAAGTGGACAACCAATCAGTACTGGTAACTGATCATGATCATAATAATATTGATCGCAACGATAAACCCGTAATGTATAGACGAGAGTTGGTTTGGAGAAACATTGTATTAATAACTTCATTACACATATCGGCGGTTTATGGCCTGTATTTGGCCATAACTGTCGCTCAGTTTAAGACTATTGTGTTTATGAATTTCATTAGTATTCTCACCGCATTCGGCATTCAAGTAATCATATTATGTTTTAATTTAATGTGTATTTAGTGTTATTTCAAATTAAATATGTATTACAGGCCGGTTGCCATAGGCTGTGGTGTCACCGCACATATAAAGCTAACCTTCCGCTTAAGATAATACTAATGGTATTGCAAACAATGGCCTTTCAAAATGACATCTATGAGTGGAGTCGTGACCATCGGTTGCACCACAAGTACAGCGACACCGACGCCGACCCACACAACTCCGGGAGGGGTTTCTTCTTCTCACACGTCGGTTGGCTTTTGTGTAAAAAACATCCGGAAGTGAAGGAAAAGGGAAAGACTATAGACATGAGTGACATCGCTTCCGACCCTATTGTCCGATTTCAACGCGCATTTTATATACCCTTATTGGCACTCATTTGGGCCGCAATTCCCACTTTTATACCCCATTATTATTGGGGCGAAACCCTATGGAACTCATGGTTTGTGTGCGTTTTGCTACGGTATTGCGTAGTTGTAAATATAACATGGTGCATTAATAGTGTAGCTCACTTTTATGGAATGAAGGTTAGATAAAATATCTATTATATCTGTAATTTATTATTGTTAATTATTATTAATATTTATTAAATTAAAAAATTGTCTCAATAGCCGTACGATAACAGTATAAAAGCGGTTGAGGCGCATATGAGACATTATTTTAATGGCGAAGGATATCATAACTATCACCACACGTTTCCCTGGTATTTGCAGTTAGATTTATACTGACAATATGTTATAGAGAAAACCATTGTAAGGGAATGTGCCTTTTAGAAATTTAATTTAAGCAAATTAATGTATGATTTAACTTGCTTAACTTAAATTTTTAAAGAACACATTCCCTTCTAAATATATTGTAATTTTTAAAAGTAATTTTTTTAAATGTTTAAGGGATTACTCGGCCTCAGAGTTGGGAGCGATCGATACGTTCAATCCGGCGACGGCTTTCATAGACATGTTTGCGGCCATCGGTTGGGCCTATGATCTGAAGAAGGCGTCCAATGATGTGATAAAGAGTCGACAGACCAAAAGTGGTGACACAAGCTATTCATTCAAATCCCGACTTTCAGAGCAAATCGTCGGTTTAACTGTAATGTTTGGTCCACTTTGGGTCGCAGGTATACTTCGGATAAATATATTTCTATTGCCTATAGTTGTGTTGGGATTATATTTACCGACATGTCATCCGCACGGCTTCACCAATAAAAAAGAAAATTAATGTCATTTTATTGATAAAACAATAACAATATTTAAATATTATTTCTATCTAGTATTTTTTAGATTAATAATTTAGATTTGTATTTTAAAGTAAATAAATTTATAAAATAACTACAATTTCAATTAATATTCAATGCAATTATTATTTACAAGTTAGTAATTTAAAATATATTGTGATTAAATGTTCAATATATGGAAAATTGGTAAATAAAATTAGTAAATGTAATCAAGAATTATAGACCTTTAAATTTAAAGGTTCATCGCATGCCTTAATCTGGAGGTCATCTGTAGTTTTGCGTCCAATCCATGACCACAAGCACCGGACGGTACTGTTTCTCGCGTTTATCAATGAGCCGTATCTGTAGTTTGTCAATCTGTTTACAGTAATGGCCAAGTCTTCAGATGGATTGCAGGCCCACAGTTCTCGTCTCACCAATTCTCTCTCTCTCTCTCTCTCTCTCTCTCTCTCTG